TTTTTTTTTTTTTTTTTTTTTTTTTTTTTTTTTTTTTTTTTTTTTTTTTTTTTTTTTTTTTTTTTTTTTTTTTTTTTTTTTTTTTTTTTTTTTTTTTTTTTTTTTTTTTTTGTATTATTAATTTATTTTTTTAGTATTAACAATTTAATTTTTCTCCTATAAAAAAGAGGGGAGCATAATGCATAAATAGAAATTGGGTGATTTTTTAGTGACCAAAAAAAGCCTCATAGCATTTTTCTTTTCTATTTTTTCATAATTCTAAATTTGGTTTCTTTATCCTTAATTTTTCTTTATATATATATACATATTTCTTAGATCTAACTCATCTAGAACCGTGTAACTCGATCACGCTCTTGATAAGAGAATGGTTCTATCGTATACCAACTCATAATTATAGGGCACTGACTCTTGTCAATCAAGACAAGATCACTATTAACGATTAACTAACGACTCTTTAATAGTTCTCACATCATGCCGTCATCGTAGGGGAGAGATCTTACTTCATTTCCAACTATCGATGGTACTATATAAACCGTTGAAAATTAGGACATATTCACAATTATAAGGTAGTTAGCGAAATTCTAATTGTCTCTACATAATATAATCATTATAAAATTATAGATCATATGCAAGTCGTAACATATAAGCATAATCATGTTTCCTAATATACACGTAGTTTATTCATTTTCTAGAATCAATCAATACATTATCCATAATTAAATGCATAATCACGTATTCTAAACCACACGCTTTCACTAATCAATTCAACCAATGTAATCAAAATTATGTGGGATTTATGTCGTAATTAATAATTTAATTTTAATAATGAATTTATTCTTTTGATTACAATTTAATATTATCTATGGTACAAAATGTTCAACGTCAACTTGACATATAAGATCATGATCTAAATATTAATCTAAAGAGTTTATAGGTTATGAACAAGGTTGGAAACTTGTGACGACCTAATTTTCTGATTCGAGTCGCTACTTAGAAGAGTAAAATTAAAAAAAAAAAATCGTAATTGAAAAAAAAAACATAAATGCATTTTTCTTATTAATATTGTGAATGTTTGATTAATCTGGTGCAAAAGTTATCTTATTTATAATCAAATGAATTATAAGGATATGAAAATAGTAATAAATGGAAATAACAATAAATGGAAAGATACCTATAATAATAAGGCAAATATTTATTTGCCTTATAATAAAATATCAAATATAATATATATGGTAAACTATAATTTATTACTAAATATCCTTAACAAATTAAGTTTGAATATATTTAGTAGGGTAAATAAAATAATTTAAAACAATAAAACAGTTGAAAAAAACAACCTGCTTCAAATCCACTCCCATCCTCAACTAGCTCCTTAAATATGAGACAAAGACTCAGTAAGTAGCCTACTTGTATGCTCTTAATCATGTCTTAGGGTATGCTAGAGTGCAATACTCTTTCTTATAACGTTCTTGTTCTTATCATGGCCTAGCCTAAGGACCTGATCTTGCTTGGTTCTTGATTCTTAATCTTAGTTGTTGTCCTTGTCTTTCGTTCTTTTTCTTTATAACACACATTATAATTGTTATAAATGTTTTGATCTAAATCGTTCATGTAAAGACTTGTGAGCGGATGTATCATATACAATGAATTGGTATAAGAATAAACATCAAAATATTTAATCTTTTTTATAAATTATTTAATTGAGAAGATTTATATTTCATATAAGAATCGTATGCGACTCGATCTTAATTCTAAGCGAATAATGAACTTTTTACTGTAACACTTGAGCTCCCACCAGAAATTTAATACCTAATTTATTTCTTTAGTGTTTGAATTTCTTAGATTTTATTATGAGTTTTAGAGGATAAATTTCAATAGGGTGTAAAAGATATTTTTTTTAAAAGAAAAAAATCCTAGAACTTAGGAAAATCATAAAAGAAAAATAGTGAGAAATTAAAAAAAAAAAAAAAGGTCAAAGTCAACTTCATGGGTATTTTGGTCATTTCTGCTCCTAGCGTAATCTGTGGAGACCTCTCGATTCACGCACCAAAAGTCCGATTCTATCATACTCGTTTCAATAAATTCTCTTTAAGAATTTTGTAGGGAAGCATTCTAGACTCTTGAATCGTCCAAAACTATCTAGAATTAAGAAAGAATGTACGGTAGTTTCTTTTTTTTTTTTTTTTAAAGTTTTCGTTCTCGATTTTTCTTCGCATCGGTAAGATTTTTGAGGAATTACTTTCTCAAATTTTAATATGATGATCTTGTACGATTTTTTGTGCATTCTTCGTGAAGAAAATTCGAGTGAATCGGAATAGAGGTAGGAGTTCTAGTGTTTGTCAAGTATAAGTATTGAATTATTAGTCGATTTTGGACTCAATTATATATTCTCGTGGTTCAAAATTAATTACAAGAAAAATTTATGGTAAAGACAAATTAAAACTCTATACCCTTGTGAAGAAATCATATTGAAGGACATGTGATGATAGTGGGTTGGAGCAACGCATCAAACGTCTTGCGGTGACACGTGTAGTATTAGATAGGACTCGAGAATCGACTTGTGGCCTGACTTGAAACCATCCACCCAAACTTCGACCCGTGACTAGTTACTAGTGAACTGACCCAAACTGTAACCCGACCTGTGGTTAGTTAAGCATGACATGCACGCATGAAGCCTACGCATGGAACCCTCCTTGAGCATGTGCAAGCATATGAGTTCTTTTTTTACCTGTTTGACTGTTTTCTGTCCCGGCTTCGATATTGATTGTAATTTTACTTTAATCAAGACCTACTAACGAGTTTTCACGAAATTTGGAGCTTCCAGAAAGCAAGCTTGGGAGGGCATGCTTTATCCACACAAATTTTAGGCAAGCAATAATTAGAAAGATCGCTAGATTGTGCTAGCATGCGAACATATCATACCTTACGTAATTAGAATATGCATGTTTAGGAGTCTAGAAGGGATAGTTTTATGAGAATATTATATATGGTATGAAAATTACTAAAATGCCCCTAGGACGAGAATTTAATCTACATGCCTACTTATTTAATTGATGATGATATATTATGGCTTGTGCTCCAAGTAATTGATGAACGATATCTCCCCTTGAGAGTGTTTGAATGCTTAGATTATGATATATGTACTTCAGGTGATTGATACAAATATCTCTGGTATGCATGAATGATTAGAATGAGTTCTTTGTGCTTTATGTGATCGATAGGAATATCTCCCTAGAAAAGCATGCATGAACCAAGTTAAGCTTAGGATGCTAGAGCTAGAGCAATTTTCAAGTTGACTTAGGTTACCGTGTTTTCAATATATCGAGTACCATAGGATCGTGAGCGACAATCAGAGGTATAGACTTGAAAGCACTCAGAGGTTGGAATATCATTGAGGTTTTAGTCCCAAACATAAGCAGGTAAGAATGATGTTACTGGAGGTTCCATAAATCGATCCTGAAGAGGGCTTAGAACCACATGAATAGCTAGCTCTTCTATTGCATGTAGAAACAGAATAAGGCTAACGTTGCGATTGATACAAAGGTAAATGACTAATGGTGTGAGACAAGGGACAAGTAGGTTACCACGAAGTTGACCTAACCCAAATTTCAATCTTGGGACCTGTGGGTTATGGGCCCACCACGCTTTCGCTGTGCCACTCTAATATGTTGACAATCATTCTAATTAGAGTATTGTAGAGGTTGATGATAACATATTATCTTCGATCGTTAAATTTAGAATAGTACCTTGAAAACAAATTATACTTTTACAGTCGATAAATATACAAACTTGTAACTAAAATTGACTTTTTAATAATGAAGTAATAAAAAATGTGAATGGAACAAAACATGTCTAACTCACCTCGAAACGCTTCTAAAGTCAAACCTAACTCAGTTTCTAAATTGTTGAGGAATCATAGATTTTCATTTTGGATCGTATAGTTCATTCTCGCTTCAGTTGTTCTAAATATTGTTTCGATAATAACATTGATGTATCAACATAGAATATCAACACTCATTCAAAATTCATTGGGGGATCGTTTAGTTGAACGTTTTGTTTAAGATTTCGATGAATAAAGTACCTTAGAATAGGATGCGTTGCATAGATATCATAATTTTAGTTTTTTTTATTTTTATTAAAGCAAATTATTAAAATAATTAAAATAGTTTAATTTTCCTACAAGTGTATTAAAATTTATTTAGTAATCAATTTTAATAATTATCTTGAAATAAATAATTTTAATAAAATTATATACAAATGAAAAATTAATTATCCACGTTATATTTTAAAAATTAAATAAAGTGGAGTAAATTATTTTAAATGAGATTAGTGTATCTATTGAGATTCAAAAATGTCAACCACATATTCATATTCGTAGACGAATGAAATTGAGATCTCAGATTGAGACGTTTCTCTTAAAAATCCAAGCATCAATTTTTTCATTTTTAAGTTTCAAGCAATTCTTGTGATAGAATTGCATCCGAGCCATTCAATCAAGCCTTGATCAAGTTTGATTGTCAATTTTGGCCATAGGGTAAGGATCGGATTGTATCTCGAGACTGAAACCTGTGCAGGGATAGGGGCGGATGTAGCCAAGTGGATCAAGGCAGTGGATTGTGAATCCACCACGCGCGTCTAAGTTTCAAGCAATTCTTGTGATAGAATTGCATCCGAGCCATTCAATCAAGCCTTGATCAAGTTCGATTGTCAATTTTGGCCATAGGGTAAGGATCGGATTGTATCTCGAGACTGAAACCTGTGCGGGGATAGGGGCGGATGTAGCCAAGTGGATCAAGGCAGTGGATTGTGAATCCACCACGCGCGTCTAAGTTTCAAGCAATTCTTGTGATAGAATTGCATCCGAGCCATTCAATCAAGCCTTGACCAAGTTCGATTGTCAATTTTGGCCATAGGGTAAGGATCGGAT